CAACACGTCAGAAAATTCTGGGCAAAAATCCGTCGATTTTCTTTTTCGATGTTCTATCTCTGCTATAAATTTGAGCTCAATCGGACATGTACTCTGCATTTGGCAACAAGGTGAAAAAAGAGGGGGGGTACCCTTAAAACTCGACAAGAAAGTAGCTGTCGTGAGAACTGGCATTGGAGATTAGTATCATGGTTCAGGATGTGTTCGTGGTACATATAGATCATCTGGTAGAATGAAAAACATTTTGCTAGGTAATTAGATAAATTTTAGTATGTAGATGTGTGTACGTTCTTTCCGTCACAACTTTTACGTGAAAAAACATTTATTAAAAAGCCCTCCACAAAAAAGTATGAGCGATAAACGTGAAAAAAAACGTAGAAGAAAAATTGAAATGGTAGAAGTAGGAAGAATATCGGTAGAAAAAGTAGTATAGAAAAGTGGCATGGAAAATCCATCAACAAAAAACGTTAGAATTTCTACTTTTTTTTTCTATATGATCGATCAATCTACCAGAGTTTTGAATTTTTTGATGATAGGTTAATTGAAGGTCTCGTTTGACTTCAATTCAAACAGAATATTGTTAAGCAGTAGTCTTCCTTTCTACTTGGCACTTTTGTTGTTCTTGGTTCATCCTTTTTCACATCGTATGTTATGTTATGTTGTTAAATGGGTTATGTCTCAAAAGAAATACTTTTTTTGCCAACTCACACTCAGTGTTTATGTCCCCTACGGTGTTATTTGATCTTACGAAGTCGATTGGAACACATCTGTATCTCTTCTAAGAAGCTCGGCTATATGGAGATCATATAGCTGCTTTCTCGTATAGATCCCTGTCTCGTTCTTATGATGTCATTAGTCTCCTGCTTTCTCGTGTGTTCAATGATATGTACATATATGTTGTACTTTTCATGTATAGAGTTCAAGTTTTCTTAGTAAATAAAGTAGACACGATCGAGAATAATAAAGATACTATTATTACCTAACAACATTTGATCTAGTCAGTCATGAAAAATACAAAACTCGTTTTTAAACCGTGATCAGGTTTTCAAACATTCTTCCAACAACTTCCCGAAAATGCACTACTACTCATTTCAAAATACAGTTCAGGTGAAGTTTTTCTGAATAATTTTCGAACAAAAAGGGATCCCTGGTGAAACTTCTTGGATTCCAAGATCTTGGGTTAAGAAATGTTACAAGATCTTGGAAAAAACACCAAGAAGTCCAGACCTTGGATCCTTGAATCTTTGACTGAAGATCTTGAAACATCTTAGCTTACTTCACTCAAGATCTTGGAAACAGAAATTTCAAGATCTTGAGTGAAGCCACGCAAGATGTTGCAAGGACAAATTTCTTTACATTTTGTTTTTATTTATGACAGTCGTGGGTATACGATCATACAGAGTCATAGATTCTTCCATAAATAACTATGGTCAACAAGGAAAAAAATTCGAAGTTATTCTAAGTGTGAAAATATTCGCACTTATATTTACATAGGAGTATAAAACAAAATGATGATTCAAGAATTTCCAAGATAAGACGTTTCGAAATTACAAGATGCTCAAGATCTTGACTTCTTAAAATTTCTTGAATTCTTATATTTTCTTACAAAGATCTTGGTTACCAGAAGTTCCACTAGGGGATAAAGACAAACGATTTTCAGCTTCTTTTTTTGTACAGGACTTCGGGCTATAATCGTTTTATTGATACTAATACTATTTTATTTCCAGTATGTTCATCTGCCCAAACAGGACGTTACACAAGGCGTAGACGATCACCACTATGATGTAGTGTTACAGTTATTCTCCATGGAAATGGACATGCCCGATCATCAACGTTGATTTCATATTTTTTATTTGATCGTTTATTGAATAACTGAATTTTTCTCTTGTTACAGTCTAATATTAATTCAACAACGTCATGTTTGCGAATATCTTCGTTATATTTTGAATGTGCACCACTAGTTAATACACCATTTAAATAAATAAATTTTCTCCAATTACTTGTCGCTGCCCAACCGTACGCTGATCTTGATAGACATGCAGGGGCTTTTACTGGCATATTAGAAGATGTTATACCAAAGAAAATCCAATAATTATCGTACATTTTCTCAATTTTAAAGGAAACTCGGTGCACACCTTTTGAATACAATGCTGTTCCGTAGGCAGATGAATATACTGGAAATAAAATAGTATTAGTATCAATAAAAC